AAAAAGAAGGCCTGCAAGGACAGCCAACATTTTGGCCGTAGCCTTTCAAGTTCAGTGAAGACTTAGGACATAGGAGAACCTATACTATAGCATCATGTAACTCAGTTGTGTCCCAAATTTTCTGATCAAGGAGATTATGGGGCCACAGAGCAATGTGATCGATGATTTAGAGTGTGCCTGGGGAGAGTCTCATGGAGAGAAAACATTCTCTCAGGCTTTCACAGAGAGCAAATCGATCAAGCAATGGCCATGACTCATCCGCATGGCTGACACTGACAAAGGATCTGCAAACTACAGTACAAGGCAACAGGATAAATCTTGAGGGGACTTGACTGACCTTATGAGATACAAAAGATACATCTCTTGTTATATAGGTCTTGCTTTATCTTGGTCTTAACAATCCAGCAGAAAAGTATAAAAACGAGGTATAAAAAGTAAAGCCATATTAATATGCTGAGCTGTGAAAGGCTCAAGTCAACAACTTCTGACATCACCAGTCCTACAGATAACCCACTACTATTATGGACTACTGGACTATATTGGATTATTTTGCTGAACTCATGCACCTACAATATTTAAATGGCAATGGAATACCCATCTCTAACAAAACTAAACAAAAAAGGGGATACAAAGGAAGGGCCATTTTGTAGCTATATATACAAAATAGGATAGATATACAGCTACTTTATCTTAATTCGATGAGAAGAAAGATTTGTACTAATAATATTTGGACAGGATATCATGTCTGCATCTTGTACTATGAATAACCACTAGGAAGGTAACAATATGCAATGTATTAATTATTGAAACTGTCCTATTAATCGGTTTTGAAACTGTCTCATTGCTGTTTCTCAATAAAATTAATTAAAAAATTTCTCTGATAATATATCCACATATTATTAATTTATTGGTTGTATTATGTTCATTGTACATGATATGCAGTAATTTATTTGAACTATCCTGTTAGAAATTAGTTTTCTTTTTTTTGGTGGAACCGTGAGTAGAACTTAGACCCTTGCATTTGCCAGACAAGCAGTTATTCTAGTGAGCCATCTCCATAGCCCCTAGGAGTTTTCTTTTCAATACAGGAAATTAAACCCAGGGACTGCTGAACCACATCTCCAGTCCTCTTTATCTGATTGTTTAATATGTGAAACAAGGCCCTATGAAATTGCCTAAACTGGGCCGGGGAGACGGCCCAGTAGAATAAGCGCTTGCCTGGCAAGCACAAGGGCCTGAGTTTAATCCCCAGTTCCACCAAAAAAAAGAAATTGCCTAAACTGGCCTTGAACTTGAGATCTTCCTGCCTCAGCCTCCCTAGTAGTTGGGATTATAGATGTACACCACCACATCCAGCTGAAATTAGTACTTTTGGGGGTGGGGGGCTACTGGAAATCAAACTCACAACCTTATGCTTGCCAGGCAGACGTTGTATCACTGAGCTAAATCCCTGGCCCCTAGGATATTTTTTAATATTGAAGACAATGCTGCATCAAATATTCTTTTTTTCTTGCACCAAATATTCTTGCATATTTGCATATTTATATTATTGCTGTCCTGTAATGATTCCACTAAAGTAATACTCAGAACTATTTTCCAATTACAAAATTAAATGTAGAAAATTTGGAAAATACAGGAAGTCCATCCCCACTGTCAATAGTTAAGCCATGTTCTAACTTTAAGTATAAGAATACTGTTCAATAAGTAATAAGCTATTTCCACAACCTGGTCTTCCTGATTTTGGTCATAGGAGAAACTCTGACTCTTCAATATGATTTTTATAACTATGGACTGCATATTGATCTTTTTTCTAGTTTATTTTTGTGAGTTCCAGAGGCACTCACTTTCCCTATGGATTACCTCTTTGCTCACAGATATGTTTAAAGAATAGTTTGTAGGGGCCAGGGATATGGCTCAGTGGCATGAGCACCTGCCTGGCAAGTGCAAGGTCCTGAGTTTGATCTCTGGTACCACAGAAAAAGAAGTTGTTTTTTTGGGGGGTTGGTACCAGGGATCAAACTCAGGACCTTGTCCTTTCCAGGCAGGTGCTCATGCCACTGAGCTATCTCCATGGCAATAAGTTTGTAATATAATTAAATTTCTTTTCTCATTTCTAGGTCTCAGAAGATCCTCAAGTGACTGCAAAGTTAAATGCAAGCCTGTTGAAAGTAAATTTCAACATTTCAGTAAAATGTCTATTTTGTTGTCTTTTGTGGCTATACACAGCTTTGTCTATTATATAATTGTATATGTTGCCTACAGTTCTTCTTTTACACACAGCCACTATGGTCATCCGCTCTGGTTTACTAAACAAAGTTTAATCAGACCCTGGGTAGGCTAAGTCATAAAAGGAACATCATTATGGGTTCCTGACATGAATGGAAAGTGGCACAATCCTCTGATGCAAAGAGAGTTCTCCAAAGTTGTCTCCCAAGTAAGAAATGGGTATGAAGAAGGAAAATAAAAACAATTAAAGAAAACCCTGGAGAATCAGAAGGTGGTTATGAATTGGTAAAGGAGGAGAAATCTTACATGGTATATGGGAAGGCTAGGCTTGTAAAAGAAGGATACTTTGAAAGAAAACTCTGAGTTGGACTCTTTTCTATCTAGCATACTGCCATGCAGATTACTGTGTTCTCCGTCAGCTCTACTGCAATTCCAAAAGCAGGGGGGCTAAGAGGTTCATCGGGAAATACTAGTGACATACAAGGTTAAAAAGTGGTTCTACTGAAAGGCATCTATGGATTTCTTCCTGCTTTCCTTCACAGGCCTTCTTTTTACCCAGAGATCTAGATGATCATTTTGAGAATGGAACAAAGCTCTGAATAAGATTTAAAAAAAAAAAAAAAGGTTCCTTACAGGGCAAAGCATCACTTCCTCCCACCTCTTTTTCCATACATTACCCGCCAAGACAGCTGAAACCCATGACTAAAAATGACCTCACTGGTAAAAACAAGTAGATGAGCCAGGTGTGGTGGTACATGCCTGTAATCCCAGCACACTGGGAGGCTGAGGCAGGAGGACTGCAAATTCAGTCTGGTCCATTTAGTGAGACCCTACCTCAAAATAAGAAATTAAAAAGGGGGAGGAGCTGGGGATGTAGCTCAATGCAGACATCCTGGGTACAGTCCCTAGCCTGTCTGTCCAAAAACACATACCCATACCCAGACTATAAAGGCAATAAACTCAATAACCTATTCTATATGACTGGAGTTAATACAATAAAAGCCAAATAAATGTCCCCAAAGAAATGAAGGAAGATGTGGAGTATATCTATTGGTAGTGAATCAAAACAGACGAAGTAGGGTCAGGGAGATGGCTCAGTGGAATAAGCGCTTCCCTGGCAAGTGCAAGGGCCTGAGTTCAATCCCTGGTTCTGAAAAAAAAAAAAAAAACCAAGTAGGATTATTGTATATTCAAAACATAATTGACAGGTGCAGGGTTGGGGTTAGACCCTCTGGTCTGCCATGCCAGCCCTGCCCGCAGGGTGCACTGTATTGAGACTGGACGTGGTGGCACTCTCCTATAATCCCAGCACTTGGGAGGCTATAAACAGGAGAATCACTATGAGTCCGATCTAGTAGTGAGACCCTGAACACCCTGTAGACCCTTCCCTAAAATACAAAAAACAAAACAAAAACATAATGGAAGCTCTGGGTCCATAGCAGGCTACAGGGCATGGACTTGGCATCAGCATATTTACATCTCGTGACCCTAGAAAATGTGACTGGGAGGGTGGTATATGAAAAGATGAATGTTAAGGTTTTTGAGAAACTCATTGATTTGAAAGCTCACATTCCTATTGTCTTGTTAAAAGACAACAAAGAGCTAGGTGTGGTGCCACGTGGGTATAATCCCAGCACTCAGGAGGCTGAGGGAGGAGTATTGTTACTGAGTTCAAGACCATCTTGAGCTTGTGAGCTCAAGGCCAGCCTAAGCTGCATACCAAGATCCTGTTTCAAAAAGAAAAAAAAATAATAAAAAAAATAAAAAATAATAAAAGACAATGAAAAAAGTTGTCAGTATAAAGAATATAACAAAGGTGACTCCAAAATACTAGGTACCAGTGTTTCCCGGCTACAACAGCCTTCTGTGCAGAGGGCCCAGCTCTAACTGTCTGTAATATGTACAACTATCTTAGCTGTCTACATTGTTCTTGGTCTAGCTTTTGGGGACCCATAGAATAGTGCTGGTCCCCTCTTCACATGGCAGTTGATTGTAACCTCTGTTGTTCCCTTTCCTCTGCTGTGACCCTAGCTACGGTTGGTTCCACACAAGCCTGATTATAGAGGGGAAGCACTACCTGGAGTGGCTGACTGAGAGGTTAGCTGAGAGGGGAGTGAAATTCTTCCAGTGGAAGATGGAGTCTTTGGAGGTGGTGGCTAGAGGAGGGGTGGGTGTGATTATCAGCTGCCCTGGGTGTGGGCCGGGGCTCTACAGCCAGACCCACTGCTGCAGCCAGACCCACTGCCGCAGCCAGGCCACAGGCAGATCATTAAGGTGAATGCTCCCTGGATAAAGCACTTCATTCTCACCCATGATCTCAAGAGTGGGATCTATATGTCCCTATACATCATCCCAGAAGTGCAGTTACTCTTGGAGGCATCTGCCAGCTGGGGAACTAGAGTGAGATAAATAGTACCCAGGACCACAACACTGTTTGGGAAGGCTGCTGCAGACTGGAGCCCACACTGAAGAATGCAAGAATTGCTGGTGAGCATACTGGCTTCTGGCTGGAAAGGGACCAGCTTCGTGTGGGATCTGCAAACACTGAGGTCATCCACAACTATGACCATGGAGACTATGGGCTCATGATTCACTGGGGCTGTGCCCTGGAGGCCGCTAATTGTTTGGGAAAATTCCAGAAGGAAAGGAGCTGTACCAGATGCCACCATCCCACGTCTGAGGAATCCAGTGACCAACAGCTTCCCTGCAAAGGTCCCCCACCTGCCAGACCAACTATTCAGTGTGCCCCCTAGAAGCCTATGCGTGTTCCCTGCCCCTAATTCTGCTGCTTTCTACAAATGTGCTTAAAGGAGAGGAAGCCACAAGGTCTGTCCATGGAGGAACATCCAGCCCCACCTGTAGCCCCATGGACGCTGAGGTCACCACTCTGTCTCCAGGCCTGACACTGAGGAACAGTCCTCAGAAGAAAGGAAAACTCAGAAAATCAAAGAGGCAGCTTCCCAAAGAAACACAAATTGAAGATGATTACTTGACTCTAAGTCATACAAACATATTAAAGTTTCTGAAAAGTCCCACAAAAACAAAACAAAACAACAACAAAAAGAAATAACAACTAGGTGCTAAGCTTAGCATCCAGGAGAAAAAAAGTATAATTCTTCAAATGGAAATATACCCACAATCCAGGGCACATCAGAGGTAGCCTCTTACCAAAAGACCTCCACATGACAGTAGAAGAGATATTCTTCTCAACGGAACTACAAATCTCAACACAGAGACACAACTAAAATAAGAAAACAAGGCAACAAAATATCTCTGAAAATATAAACAACTCCCCAAAGCTAACTCCACTGATACTGAAGTAGATCAAATGCCAAAGAATTTTGAAACCTGACCATTGAAATGACCAATGAGCTTAAGTTACTAATGAGCAGCTGAATGAATTAAGCCAACACAGGACATGAAAAGTCACTTTAGTAAAGAGGAAAGTTTTAGCAGGGCATAGTGGTACGCGCCTGTAAACCCAGCACTCTGGAAGGCTGAGACCAGAGAACCAAAAGTACTGGGAGTGGGGGAAGGGAAGAAGTTCTGAACAACAACCGAGCATAAAATCTGGAAATGAAAATGAAATAGGAAAAAGAACCAAACTAATACCACGTTGTCCTCAGGCAGCATCTTAGAGCTTAGGTTTCTGTTTCCTTAAGTTTGTTTCTTATAAATGTTGTCATAATTACCTAAGCCAACAGTACCCCATGTTTTGTCATATGACTGCTTGTTCCCTATGTAAAATGTCAAACACTTTTGTTCCTTTGTCACAAGCTAAGCCCATGCTTTGTAGCTGTACTAAATTATATCAAAGACCTAATCACACCCCCTAGACCTGGAACTAGACCTGAAACTAAAACTGTATACATTTTTTCCCTTCCTGCCCTTCAGGGTTGTGTCTTGGTCATGACCTGGACCCTAACAGCTGGCTAATAAACTTGCTTGTCTCTGCATCCAGCCTCCACTGGTGACTCAGGCAAGTGCATTTGCTACAACAAAAACTCCAGTAAGTCAAAACACTTGATGGGAAGTCTAAGGAGTGGGCGAGATCAATCAGGAAAAAATAAATCAGGACTGGAAGGTTGGGTGGGAGTTCTCAAATTTTCATACAGAATCAAAGAAAAATATGAATAAAATAAAAATAAACCATGGGACCAGGGAAGATAGCTCAGTAGAATAAGCATTTGCCTGGCAAGTGCAGGATACTGAGTTCAATCCCTGGTACCACATAAATAAATAAATAAATAAACATCAAAGATTTAAATGTTAAAATAAACAATCTGCTAGAAGATAAGATAGTAACTCTTGAAGCCAGGTGTAAGCAAGGATTCTTTTTTTTTTTTGGTGGTACCAGGGATTGAACTCAGGACCTAGCTCTTGCCAGGCAGGCTCTTATACCACCGAGCTATCTCCCCAGTCCTAGTCAAGGGCTTTCTGAACAGAACACCGCTGACATAAGAAATAATACTGAAAATTAACAAATGGGATCAAATCAAATTAATTTCTACACAGTGAAGGTAACAATGAACAGAGCAAAGAGACAACGTACCAAATGGGAAAACGTTTTGCCAGCTGTTCTTCAGACAGAGGACTAGAATCTATGATATATAAAGAACTCAAAAGAGGCCGGTTCCCCAAATAAAAAACCCAATCAAAAATTGACAACACATGAATAAAGACTTCTCAGAAGAAGTACACATGGCCAATAAATACATCAAAAAATGTTCAACATCACTGGCCATTAGAAAAATGCAAATTAATACTGAGATTCCATCTACTCCAGAAAAAAAGGCTACCATCAAGAAATCAGGGGGCCTGCCCCTTAGCCCAGTTCTTTGGGCTGGGGAGATGGCTCAGCGGAATAAGCGCTTCCCTGGCAAGCGCAAGGACCTGAGTTCAATCCCCGGTTC